AAAGAAAAAGAGAGATAAAAAGAAAGGAGAGCGCTTCAATCTCCTCACTTCTTTTCCAATATAAATCCGGCTAATTTATCACCTGTCGGCTTTATTGCTCCATAAAGGACTAATGAATTGAATTAAGTGCTTGCAGTAGTCACGACGGAAGACACGCGCCGCTGTAACACATCCTAAAAGCAAAATCTTACACGCGTGAAGGTCCCGCCAAAGTGATGCTGTGTGGAGGGGTTTACGTGTCACGTGTGAAACAATAACAACTGTAATATGGGAGGTATGAGAGTTCACGAAGAGGGAGAGGGAAGGAGGGACACTGAGAATGGGAGAGAGAACGTGAGATTGGGGGTAATGAGAACGAGAAAGTAAAAAAACAGAGAGAGAGCGAGAAAGAAAGAGAGAGAGAGAGAGAGAGAGAGAGAGAGAGAGAGAGAGAGAGAGGAGAGAGGGAGGGGGAGGGGGAGGGGGAGGGGGAGGAGAGAGAGAGAGAGAGAGAGAGAGAGAGAGAGAGAGAGAGGAGAGAGAGAGAGAGAGAGGAGAGAGAGAGAGAGAGAGAGAGAGAGAGAGAGAGAGAGAGGGAGAGAGAGAGAGAGAGAGAGAGAGGGAGAGGGAGAGGGAGAGGGAGGGAGAGAGAGAGAGAGAGAGAGAGAGAGAGAGAGAGAGAGAGAGAGAGAGAGAGAGAGAGAGAGAGAGAGAGAGAGAGAGAGAGAGAGAGAGGGGAGGGAGAGAGAGGAAGGGGGGGACGAGAAAGAGAAAGAGAGAGGGGAGGGAGGGAGGGAGAGAGAGAGAGAGAGAGAGAGAGAGAGAGAGAGAGAGAGAGAGAGAGAGAGAGAGAGAGAGAGAGAGAGAGAGAGAGAGAGAGAGAGAGGGGGGGGAAGAGAAAGAGAGGGGGGAGAAAGAGAAAGAGAGGGGGAAGGAGGGAAGAAGGGAGGGAGGGAGGGAAGGAGGGAGACAGAGGAAGGGGGGGGAGAGAAAGAGAGAGAGAGAGAGAGAGAGAGAGAGAGAGAGAGAGAGAGAGAGAGAGAGAGAGAGAGAGAGAGAGAGAGAGAAGAGAGAAGAGAGAGAGAGAAAGAGAGAGAGAGAAAGAGAGAGAGAGAGAGGGGGAGAGAGAGAGGGGGAGAGAAAGAGAGAGAAAGAAAGAGAGAAAGAAAGAAAGAGAGAGAGAAAGAGAGAGGGAAAGAGAGAGGGAAAGAGAGAGAGAGAGAGGGAAAGAGAGAGGGAAAAAGAGAGAGACGAAGAGAAAGAGAGAGAGACGAAGAGAAAGAAAGAGAAATACAGAGAATGAGAGCCAGAGACAAAAAAGGGGATGGAGAAAGAGAGGAAAGGAAAGAAGAAAGGAGGATGGAGAGAGAAAAACCAGACATGACAATACGTGATTCTTACCTCAGACCTCTGTTGCAGCCGTTTGTTGAGCTCGTACAGTCTGTAGTCTGGCTGGCCAAAATAAGGGGTGTGTCGTCTGGAAAGAGAGAAGAGAGAAATGGTTAAATTGCAAACCCCTAAATATGCTGTGTCTACATGCTTACAAAATATGACTGCAATGAGAAAAATAATCAAGATTCATACAACAATAATAACAATAACAATAGCAGTACAAACATAATTCGGATTACAATAGTCCTCTACATATTTTTTTATGATAATAAAATCTACATAATAATAGCGCGTGAAGATAATTGCAAAAATGCAACAATAACGCAACCCAACCAACCCCCTTTTAAGACTCGAAGGGCAAAACGCCAATATTGCCCAAACTGCAGGGCATCCCGCCTCTGCTTCCAACCCAAAGATTTTTCGTTCATTCGGAGACTGACCAACAGCAGCTGAACCCGCACGGGCGCGAACTCCCGTCAACTATATAATGCTGACACTTATACGCAATAAATGTATTCATAAAGTTGGCAAGGCAATTTCCCTTTACTGTTCGTTTTCTACAGCAAGCAATTTTCCTTAACTGCCACATGCTTGCTGGCCCCTTATCCGTGGCGCTGCCGACGCTGACAAATGTTTAAAGAGATAACCCCCCCCCCCCACACACACACACAAATAAAAATAAGAAAATAAATTTAACTACTAAACAAACAATCCTTAGCAACATTAGTTATTTCTAACAAAGTCTCGTGAAACAATATATATTGCACGTTTTAACCCTCGTGATAGAACGCATTTTATTAACATTTATAATATAGAACCTTGACAACAATATCCGAAGATATTTAATGCAGATGAAACAATCCTAAATCAAGGCCATCACCTTCACTCAGTCGACAAAAAAAAAGAAAAAAAAAATCACTAGCAACAATAACAGCTCCAGCGTTCACAGAAACCGCGCCACAGCACCGGCAACTACATCGCAACAACAACGACTATAAATCCGACACTCGGCAACGACCAGTCATAAATCCTGCAAAGTTCCATCTCGCCTCCTCTCGCCGGGCAACCGAAGTGATCATTTAGCAGTCGTATGCCATTATGTAGTCCTCGCTCCTCGCACATCCAGGGTGGAAGTTTCCTAATCAATGGTGGTGGGGGAGGCGGCAAACAAAGGCTTCTCAATTATTCACAGGTGGAGCGGCGGCGGCGGCGGCGGTGGCCCGTCCCGCTGTTGGTGTGCCCGGTGTCACTCCCGCGCCGGGGAGGATCACGGCGCCCACCTGGATTCACTATCAGCTCCGAGGGGGGACGGGGGAGGTCGTAAGGTGGAGGGAGGGGGAAAGGACGGCGAAAGGGTTGATAAGTCGCGAGAAAAGAGAGAGGGAGGGGAGAGAGGGGAGGGAGGGAGGGGAGAGAGGGGAGGGAGGGAGGGGGAGAGAGGGGAGGGAGTGAGGGAGGGAGGGAGAGAGGGAGGGAGAGGGAGAGGGAGAGGGGAGAGGGAGAGAGAGGAGAGGAGAGGGAGAGAGAGAGAGAGAGAGAGAGAGAGAGAGAGAGAGAGAGAGAGAGAGAGAGAGAGAGAGAGAGAGAGAGAGAGAGAGAGGTTAATCATACATGAATACATATATGAGTGAATAAATGCATACATGTACCGTACCGTACACGTAGGCAATTTATGTACATAAACGTGCACAACAGCACCCATTTTCGTGTCCACGAACAGGACAGCCTAAAGCGTGGTCCGGGCGCCAGAATGTCTACGCCTGATGGTGATCTGGCGGGAGAGCAATTTGGAGAGGAAAAAAGAAAACAGTGAGCGTTACGCTACATCCCCGAGAAAACAGCAGTAACAGGCGCTGCTGTCACGGGTTTGTTTCCCTGGCGGCCACATATCCATCTCCCTTCCCCGCCCCCACCCACCCCCGTCCTCGGTCCCTGGAAAAAGGGTTCATCTTTTCATCTCCTCTCTCCCTCTTGCTCTCTTCTGTGTAACTAACGAGATAAATGCATGAATAATTTCACCGTTGACTGAAATGTCATCAAACAGGAAGGACTCGAAAAGGTTAGCCACGTTGCACGGCCCAGCAGCAGCAGCGCCGACGACTACACGATAACTATGACTACGACGTCCTTGGCAGTGCTCGCTGGGGTGCAGTATGAGAAAAAAATGTGAGCAAAATGGAAATGACAGGCTGGAGGAAGATGGTGCAGGCGTGCAACTGGCCTTGCAAAAGAAAGTGAATGTGACGAGAGGCATGGATGTGTCAAGGCTCTAGCGAAGCCTCTGTCCTTTAACTATCCCACTCTCGCACGCTCGCACTAGCATACTTTTCTCATCTGCTCATCCTGGCCGGTGGGGCGCACGATCTATGCCAGCGTGGAATTCTCGGTTTATTCACGGCAGTTTTAACCGTATTTTCATCGTGGTTGACGTGTGGGAAGGGCTGTAGAGGGGAAAGGAGGGGAAAGATACTGGTGATGGTTGTGGTGGTTCATGGTAATAATAATGATGATGATAATGATGATGATGACGATGATGGCGATTATTATTGTCATTATTACTGAAGTGGTGATGGAGGGAAGTCGGAGATGGCGGAAGGGGAGGAGTTGATGGTCGAAGGGAGGGAGAGGATTCTTCCGCTGGTGAAACATCAGACGACCCTTGACATCGTCACGGCGCGACACCCAACCGGACACTCCTTGGGCGGCTTGCAGGACGAGCTTGTCCTCAGCGCTCTTTGTTTACGTTACGGCTGTTGACCTGCGGAGGTGGCGATCCGCTCTGGCCGAGCGTCGTGGCACTCGTCCAGCCCCGTGAATTGAACGTGCACGGCGTAAATCCTTAGCAAACAAAAATATGCGTCGCCTTTTTCCCGCGCTGACCACAGTCCGCACATTCCGGGGCCATGCTCCACCACGGTCTCTCCAGAGCCTCCGTCAGCCTCCCCGACGGAGAGAGGAAGCGGTGGAGAGGCAGCAAGCACAACACAAAGGAAGCCAAGGCAAGTGCAAAGATGTGCACAGCAAGAAGAGGCAGCTGATAACCCCATTACCATGAGAAAACGACACTAGCAGTCCCTGGCGGCCGGCCGTGATTGGCGTTTGGCACTCCCGTGATTACCCGCGTGGCACCGCCTCATGCCGGCCTTGTCCGCGGATCAAAGGGATACGCAAACAGGTGACACCGGCGCTCACCTGTCGCGTGATGCCTCTCCGTGCCACTCGAAGCTAATTTTCCAACCCAGTTCCTCTGCAGGACGGCAGCGCATCACCATTCCCTTCCATTCCCGCTCTCTTTTTAGCCTTCCATCCTCACCGAACCCTTTCACTCCACCCGTTCCGTTTGTTCTTGCTCATTCGAACGCCCAGCGGACCCGCCGGAGAGCGCGCCCATACGCCACCCCTGCCCTGCCCCTCCCCCCGAGCCACCTTGTTGCCCTAATCACCGTTTCTTCCCGCCGTTTCCCCGAAGTTCCCCAAGTGAGATTAATCCCCGCGGAAGCCCCGTGACTGAGCGACGCTGGAGGAACGTGAGCCAGGTGGCGGCGAGGGCGAGGGAGAGCGTGTCCTCCGTCCCTCCGTCCTCCCTCCCTCCCTCCCGTGGCCCTCTTCCCTCCTCCCACCACCCTTCGCCTCCGCCTCTGCCGGGACGCTCGGCCTCACCTCGCCCCGGGAACCGCCGAAGTTCAACACGCTCACTTCCTTTCGCCGTGATCACGCTGCAGTACATGCTGCTCGGGATGCACGTATGTTGGGGGATGTCCCGCTGAATAAATATGGATGGACGAGTTACTGTAATTGTGTTTGTGTATGTGTGTTTAATCACAATCACATTCCGTCTTCTAGTCCAGCCAAAGGGTTTGTTGATATTCGGTGAAATAACGAAACAGGAAAGAAATGAAAGCAATCGATGAAACAAAATTTTACATCTCAATAAATGACACACAAAATTTTGTGGATAAGCGAGCAAGAGAGAGAGAGAGAGAGAGAGAGAGAGAGAGAGAGAGAGAGAGAGAGAGAGAGAGAGAGAGAGAGAGAGAGAGAGAGAGAGAGAGAGAGAGAGTGTGAAAGAGTGTGTTCTGTGCATCTGTCTTTGTGTATGAATGAGTGTATACGTATACATGTACATAAGTATGTACATATACACATAAAAGTATACACGCCCACTCTGATATGCTTTTACTTTCCTGAACCATAATCCTACGGGCAAGCATTTTCCGTGTACCCAACCAGATATCGTATGTTTGGGAAAAGACGACTTAATGCTTATGAGCCGAGAGTACACGAGGCTGTCAGCGTGGTACAGTATAGCACGGTCGCCTCTACCAAACATACACAGACACACACACACGTTAACAAAGGAAGTTGGAAAGGCACATACGAAGAGGGGGGCTGGGGGAACCCGACAATAAACTTGGGGGAAAGAGAGGAGGGAGAGGGGGAGAGGCTAAGGGGGGGCGGGGGTTGGGAGGGGAGGACGAGAGGGGAGAACAGCGATACCACCGACAGGTTTCGAATCGTTTCGAGACAAAAATAACGACTTCTATCGCTAGCCGCTCCTTCTAACTTGCAGACTTAACTCAAAATACTTTATAATAGACGCTAACACCGCAAAAAATGTCCTGGAGGCCCACACTTCCCACGGGCAGATCGAAATACCACAGCTAATATCCATGCGCGTCTTTAGCAACACTGGCGGCGAGAAAACCCCCGACGTAGCACACAACCCCGCTAACTCGAACGCGCTACACCTGTCCGATCTCGATACAACGAAACGGAACGGCTACCTCTTAGTCTGGAAGCACAACAGCGAACATTCTGCCTTCAGGAGCCGCCCTTCCTTCCCAGGGGCGTGCGGGGCGGGTGCCGCTAGCGCGGGTGGCGCTGTAGGCCGAGCAACAGCGCCGGTAAAGTTGTGTTAGGAACTAAGTCAGATTCTTCTCTTGTATGTGCTGAAGAAATTAATTGTTGCACGATTGTGATCCACGTGAATTTAGACCCGAAGCCTGCATCGGCAGATCCGAAAGCCAGTCGCAAGCGCAGCGCCGGCCAGGGGGGAAGCAGTTATTGTGAACAGTAATATTAGAT